ATATATATATTTATTTAAAAAAAAATATTTTTCTGTTATTTTCATTATTTTATTTTTATAATTTCTATATTATCTTCACTTGCTATCAGATATTGTGCAGTACTATTAGATTTGTTGAGGCTTAGAAATTCATACAATGTCAACACATAATTACAGGTAGGTGGTGCAATGAGTTGTATGTGTGATCTTTTGTGATCTAACATGATCTTGATTGTACCCACCAAGAACAGCATTCTGCAGGATCGAAGTTTGTTATGTAATTTAAATAATGCAATTTATTAGTTCTGGCTTTATCTAATTTGTAATAAAGCATATTACAAAAACAAGAGGCCTGAATAATTCATTTAACAAGATTTTACAAAATTATATAATTTTAGCAATCTCTTAATAATTATAAATATTGTGAAAATAACACAGTGGCAGTTACTGTATTTATGCAAGAAAGAATTATATTAAATTTTTTATTATGAATTTCATGAAGATGCAAACTAATAAGAATAATTTTTAAAATACATAGTTTAAACTTTTTAAGTAATTTATATAATTTTATTATTATTTTATATTATATATATATTTAATATTGATAAATAGAAAAACTTAAACATAAAAATATACAAATATATAATTTCTTATATAGAAGCATAATATTCTTAAATTTAATAACTCAAACTGGGTATATTTGATTAAGTTAACAGTCATTGTAGACTGCAATTTCTTACTAACTAAACACATTCAAGAAAACCTTTAAATATGTTTAAAGGTTTTCTTGAGTGTGTACAGTCATTGTCAGGCTAAAAGACCTTCCCTATGTCAAGCAGCTGTATTTCAAATTTAAAAATAGCTTGTTTCTAATTAAGATAATTTGAAATCATGTTTCACTGGCTCCAAGTAATTGCAGGCCCCATGAAAGAAGTTGGGATGCTCAAAAAATGGAAAAAGTCATAGAAGCATTTAGAAATAAGAAAATGGGTTGGAAAAAGGCTTGTAAGGAGTTAGGCATACCTAAAACTACATGGATGAGGCTCACAAATGAAAAGTACAGTGATTCAAAGGAAGGAGCAAGCATAAAAATGAAGGGTCTTTTATTTTACATTCATTCTTATTAGTGGTCTGACTTAGGCAACATTTTCCCCAGAGACTAGTTTTGTAACTTTTTCTGAAGAGCCTTAACTTGAAAATCTGATCAGTTGTAAGTTAAATTCAGTTATGCTGAGTATTAGAAAACATATATAACAGGGATATATCAGTCCGGGTTGAGAAGGAGAAGCTTCCTCCGTTCTTCCATATATTAAAGGGCTGTCATTCATTCTTCCAACTCTACACATTCCATTTGTGCAGTTGGTGGTAGCCAAATCTTTGCCCGGACAATACTAACCACCGTTGGAAGGGGGAGGATTAGTACAAGAATGATGTTTGTGATGTCTACAATCAGGACTACAAGTAGACCAAGAAGATCAACTCGTCCATTGACCGTCTTCAGGAGGGCACAAATTGGTGCAGTCGATCCTTTGTGTGGCATCACCTAGGCACTGTTCTCCTCCATTTAATGGGGCAGGATTGGTGCAGAGTCGATGTCTCGTTTGAATTCCACGACCGCACCTAACACTGCACTCGTTCCAAGGGCTCCACGATGACCATTCTCCATTAACGTATACGGTCAAAACGGCAGTTTCGATGAGTCTTTGATTGGCCAAGTTTCTCACACCGCAAGTGTAATTACCCANTAGAAGCATAATATTCTTAAATTTAATAACTCAAACTGGGTATATTTGATTAAGTTAACAGTCATTGTAGACTGCAATTTCTTACTAACTAAACACATTCAAGAAAACCTTTAAATATGTTTAAAGGTTTTCTTGAGTGTGTACAGTCATTGTCAGGCTAAAAGACCTTCCCTATGTCAAGCAGCTGTATTTCAAATTTAAAAATAGCTTGTTTCTAATTAAGATAATTTGAAATCATGTTTCACTGGCTCCAAGTAATTGCAGGCCCCATGAAAGAAGTTGGGATGCTCAAAAAATGGAAAAAGTCATAGAAGCATTTAGAAATAAGAAAATGGGTTGGAAAAAGGCTTGTAAGGAGTTAGGCATACCTAAAACTACATGGATGAGGCTCACAAATGAAAAGTACAGTGATTCAAAGGAAGGAGCAAGCATAAAAATGAAGGGTCTTTTATTTTACATTCATTCTTATTAGTGGTCTGACTTAGGCAACATTTTCCCCAGAGACTAGTTTTGTAACTTTTTCTGAAGAGCCTTAACTTGAAAATCTGATCAGTTGTAAGTTAAATTCAGTTATGCTGAGTATTAGAAAACATATATAACAGGGATATATCAGTCCGGGTTGAGAAGGAGAAGCTTCCTCCGTTCTTCCATATATTAAAGGGCTGTCATTCATTCTTCCAACTCTACACATTCCATTTGTGCAGTTGGTGGTAGCCAAATCTTTGCCCGGACAATACTAACCACCGTTGGAAGGGGGAGGATTAGTACAAGAATGATGTTTGTGATGTCTACAATCAGGACTACAAGTAGACCAAGAAGATCAACTCGTCCATTGACCGTCTTCAGGAGGGCACAAATTGGTGCAGTCGATCCTTTGTGTGGCATCACCTAGGCACTGTTCTCCTCCATTTAATGGGGCTTTCTATCTACAGAAATAATTATCAATTTGTAATGAAATGGATATATAGAAAAAAATCATGCTGGAATTATAACAACAGTAAGTTTTTAATTTAAAAGGATAAACTTCAAATAACTACACATTACCAGCCTTTAAGATGCAATCTATTTTATTAACATAATCTAATGTTTTTGGTCAATTAATTGACCTTCATCAGAATCGAACAATTTTTCGATTTATGACGAACAAAACTGATTATAGAATGTTTTCAACTTTAAAAGTTTTCTCAATGCCTATTGCACAAGTCTGAAAATAGATAAATAGAATCTACAGACTGAAAATGCACAAATATATGCATACACTAACTATACACATAAAAAATAAAAGTAAAAATAAAAATTAATAATAACAAAGAAATAGATAAATGAATAGATAAATAAACAAGTGATTAAATAAAGGTTTAACATACTTGGTCCAATAATCCAGTNGTTGGAAATAATAAAATTAGGATCTTTGTACGTGTCGATCTGCTCCCCGTTCTTAAGCCAGAACATTTCTGGAGTCAGTACACCGTCGGGTGGTAAACACTGGAGAGAAACCCGACCATCAATCTCAACGCTGGTACTCAAAGGCTGATTGATGAAGATTTTTTTCAAGTAGGAAGCTCTAACGATGGCTTTTCTGCTCTTAATTTTACTGGTAGAAGACCAAGCATGACAGAAACACGTGTACAAATCGAAATACTCATCCACTTCATCTCTACTGATGTCAAGGCTGACTTCTACTTGTGATATTCCTGTCGTGGGATCGATGTATTGCTGTTCATTTGCGTGATGCATTTCTTTACTGTTGCAGAGATAATAAACATGGAGGGCATGACGAGCTTTGCACCATAATCTTGCAGCACAATTTCGGAGGGCATAAGTATCTTGTGGCTCTTCCAAAAACATTGGTGTGGTCGATGGCTCGCTATCTTGAATTGGGAGTGGTTCGAGGAGTAAACCACTATCTCTCCTACATAAGCCTAATCTGGCAGCAGACGTCAACACTGCGACATCAAATACGACATCCATGGCAAATCTTCTCAGGTACGGCTAGTTACTGATCGGCCACACGAAACGGCTCCTAGTGCAGCCACGAGTGGGATGTTATATGTTATGGTGGCCGTCATGGGCCAGTTACGACGCTGACAGCAGACTCAGACTTCAGCAGACGACTGCAGCAGCCATGGCGCCTTCGCGTTCACTTCAGTGGACGAATTGAGTTGACTTCGTCTGGTATAACGTTAACTGTACCAGAAGGTGCTATTAAGAATATTTCAGGAGAAGATATATATATATATATATATAGCTATATTAAGGGATGATAAAGATAGACCTAAACTGCCAGATAAATCAACAGTGTTGAGTCCGGTCATTCAATGTGGACCACCTGATTTACAGTTTAATAAACCTGTTATTCTTAGTTTTCAACATTGTGCTTTAAACCATGAAAACTATTTATTTAATGTACATAAAAGTGACAGTAGCCCAGAAGAGGAGAGTCCAATTTGGCAGAATTTAGTTACTGTAGGTCGAGAGACGATCAACACCAACTTGTACTGCCAGTTGGATTTGAAGCAGTGCCATATAATAATAGACAATCTGGCTCATTATGTCTTGGTTGGTGAATCAAAATCTGGCTGTAAACCCACAAAATCATTAACTCTAGCAGCCTTTGCACCTTATCTTCATTCATCCGTTGATTACAGTCTACACTTGTATTGTATAGAAGCAACACAAGCTGCCTTAGAAGGTGTAGTCCAGATAGAACAAAAAATTGATGGTAAACTCTTAGACTGTTCAAAGACAATGCTGTTCCACGATGGAGGTGCTAATCTCTGTTTTTGCTTAGAAGATATTGGTCCCAGATGGAAGTGTAAACTAGGATCGAATTATCAGGAAATCCTATTTCTTCATGTATGGAGTGGACATCAGAATAATCTCCATTGCTCGTTCACTTTAGAGCATATTGACCGATCCATTCAAATGATTGGTTGTAATGTTCTTGTTTATTCTACGATAGCTGGCACACATGTATACGAGCATTTCACTGTGTGCGCGATCGATTTCAAATTGTGAAGACCATTTCCCCCCTTCAAAAGATCTCTATATATGCATTTGTGAACTGTTATTTATGATATTTGTAATAATTTTTGTTTAATCACTTTATTTCAACTTTTTTTTGCTAATTGTGTATTCGTTCGAACTTTGTTAAAACCTTAACTGTACCCCGAACAACAACTGAAGTTGTAGGAGGAAATTTGCCTATTTTACCAATCTAGGTATCCCCCCTTTTCCAAATTTTAATATCGACTCAAAATAATTTAAAAAGACAAATTACAATAAAACGGTTTATTATCCAACTATCAGAAATTTCACAACATGCCAAGGAAGAGAGGAAGGAGCAATTAAATAATTAAAATTATAAAGGATTAAAAAAAATATATAAAAATGGGGAATATCGCACTTCTGACAATCGCTACAAGTGTGTGGGCTAAATTTGGAGAATCCGTGCTTCTCACATGGACAACTGTATGTGGCCAGCTCATGCTTTGGAAAACCTTCCGATTTATTCATGTACACACCAGATGGAAAAACAAAAAATATCATGTATCCACAAGCGCACTAATAAATAAATAGAATTGAAACGACACTTTGAAATGTTTTCCCGATGAAAATGAATAATAATAATAAGTTTCAATAAAAACGATAAAATGTAAATTGAATTTTATCATAACGAGTTTGCTTAAATTTCGTTTCTTCTGAGATCACAACAATGCGTGACGGGTAAGCTAGTGTTCTATATTTAAAATTTGTCAGTTCTTTTAGTCTTTCTTGAGACATTGTTAAATGTAAGTATTTTTTAATTAATTTAAATTTAAGAGAAAAAATGCTTTCAGACTGGCCCAGAACTGTTCAAGGTGTTGTGTTCCCCACACCTTGAACAGATGTGGGCCAGTTAGATGTAGCTTGGAATGCTGTTCCTCAAAGCACTATCAATCATCTCATTGATGACATAACACAATGTTTATGTGAGTGTATAACCAGCTGACATGGACCTACCCACTATTGATTAAAGATTCATAAAAACTCAAAGCTTTACTTGTTATGTTTCACTCCTTATTTTTCTTTAGCATTTACACCTAATGTGTACTTTGCAAGTTTCATTCACAATCATGCATTCCTTCTTGGTGTTGCAATTTCAGTCTTGAGCAGTGTTTTTAATAAGTTTACTATTAAGTAGTAAAAACAATTATTTAGGAAAAGAAATCTAGTGGAAAACAAATTTGATTGTGGCATAGAAATTTTAATTAAAATACAAAAAAGTCTACTATGCATATGTAGCTAGAACTATTTCTAAGACTAACAGCACAAAACCTTTCTCACTAACCACTTCTTCTAACCGACGCTCCACAGTGTACCCGAGGAAGGCCTATTAAGGTGGCTGAAAATGTTTGTGCTCCAGTTAATAAGGCTAGAAATTAGTGAGAAAGGTTTTGTGCTGTTAGTCACAAAAAAGTCTAACTCTTATTTCATATTTTCTAATGTAGTGAAACAATGAAGTTGCTTTTTAAATAAAAAGTTGTTAATTTTCATAATACTTTTATCAATTAAATCATATATGCTATTTATTTTTGAATACAAAGTAAATTCATTATAGTTTTGTTCCTCTCACATAAAAATAATTTTTAATAACTGCATGCATTTTATTAGTTTGCACTTTTTAATGTAAATATGGAAATTATTGGCATAATTAGAGTATTATTGAGAATAATTAAAAACATTTTTCTTTTTTTTTTTTTTAAGTGATATATTGTGTATGTATGCTATAATATATCTGCAAAATAAGACATAATTTAATTTATTTGATATCATAATTTTTTTTCAAAGCACAGCACTTGAAGTGGAAAATATTATTAGAAATTTTAATGTTACACCTGCAACAATAGGTGTTATTAAAGGAAAAGTACATATAGGTAAGAAATAGTTTATGAGTATTACTTTTTAAAATTTATCAAATACTGCATAATGATAAAAAATTTTTAATTATTATTTCTGAATTTTATTTACTATATATTAAAATTGATTAAAACCAGTTGTAAGTGATTTTTATAACAGAAATAAATCTGAAATTTATGCATTATCTTATAATTAAATAAAATAAATTTACATAATGATTTTCAATAATCTGAATCTTTTACATTAATAAAATAGCAATACCACACTAAACATTTCTATGTACAAAAAAAATTTTGTTTTGAAAAATGTAACACTGTTATTATTATAGTTACATTTTGAAAATATTCTATTTTAGTATAATAATACAGTATTTACTAAATTTTATAATTTCTACAACTTACTAAGTATTGACTACTATTAAGTTCTTGGATGCTCAAACTTCCATCAACTGACTTTCTGAAAGAACTTCAGTTCTTTGCCCCATAGAAATTCTAAGTGATGACTGATTCTATAGTTAAAAATGAAAATGTACACAAATAATCAATTTTACATTTTCTACTTCTAAGCTTAGGTTTCCTTTTAACATTCTCAAATTCTATGATATCAGTTTTCTTGAATTCTGTCATAAGACTTCCTTGTAAAATTTATGTTGCACATCACTGATTTGTTCCAAAATGTAATGCATTTTACAAATCAAATTCATTTGATTCTGCTAATGATTATAGAATCCTAACATCATGATTACAGTATACGGTTATCATGGATAAATTATTGATTTAATCATTATAATAAATACAATATCCAGTAATGTAACAGAGTAAACAACATGCTGATTTGAAACCTGTTCAGTTTACTTAGTATTATAAGTTGTTTGTTTATGTAATTATGTTTTACTTTCCTCACTGTTATAGAATACAATGTAGGGAAAGTAAAATTTTGTTCCCCAGTGTCTTTGCATTTTTTTGACATTCCATGAGTTCAAAAATGTAAAAAGAAAAAAAAACTCTTACAAAATTCTGGATGTGTTTGTTGGCATCTATTTTGCTTCATACCTCAGGACTTTATGGACCAAAAATTTTGAAATTTGGAGGAATACTTCTATGTATGGATCACTGATGCTATTATATTTTGGAGATTATGCGTCAAGGGGAGGGAAATAGAGGGGTAAGGATCAGATTTGAAAATTTTATTTGTTATTGACATTTACAATTTTTTTAAAAACTCACTCTTACCCCAAATTTTATAATTATTATTATTATAAAAAATATTATTTTCATGTTGCCACCTTTTAAAAATTGCTGACCCTGTCCAGGCCAGCAATTTTGAAAACTGTCTCGAACAGGTCGTAAACATTTTTTTGAAATTTGTTTTGTGTCAGCCAATCTTTATTAAATTTACAAGCTTGCTTCCTCTTTTTTTGGGTTTTAAATTTCTTGAGTTGTCATATTAAATAATTAAAATAGAAATTATGAACTTGTAACTGTCATATTTGCTTTACAATAGGTTTGTTCCAACACAAGTCCCTGACTGGTTTGAATTTGAAATCGTACGAGGCATGTGCAATGTCATTTTACAGCCAAGAACTTAACAATGCACATGCCAGTTTTAAACCAGTTAGGGACTTGTTGGAACAAACCTAATATTTGCCAGAGATATTGCAAGTTAAAATTTTAAAAGTATATTTTCTGTCACTCTTAGCCTAGGGATAAGATGATAATAAGTTTGGGTGAGGGTCTTTAACCTTTAAAATAAAATATGTGCAAATATTTTTATAAATTTATTTTGTTTCATCATAATTTCACAATTTCTACAAAAACTGGACAAATTAATAATTAATCCGGACCATGAATTAAAAAATCGGCTTGTCTGGGTGAAAACTGGTCTGGTTGCAACACAAATTATTTTTAAATAAAATCTTATAACAGATAGAACCACACATAATTTTAGTTTTATCTTTGTTTGTTTTGTGTAAAAAGTGTACATTTTAGAGGTGGAAAAATCCCATTTTGATATTGGTGATTGCAATACCACTTGAACTGTAACATTATAGCAAAAAACTCTGGGAATCAATATACTATAATATATTAGTGCAAATATAAGTGACTCAAAATTTTGGAGTCCTTACTTTTTGAAAAAATTAGGACCTGAATATAAGTCAACCTTTTGTTATTAATTTTATTTGCATTAAAAAATTTGAAAAGTCATTAAAATGATACTTCACTTTCATCTTCATTAGAACTTTTATTGTCACCATTCTTGTTTCCTATTTCATTGCTATTATGCTCTTCAGCTTCCTTGAACAGTAAGTATATCATCCTTTGTTCCATCCAAATTATTGGTAACATATCATTTCTTAAAACCCTTTATAATTGTTCTTTACCAACAATCTTTCATAATTCTACTGTTATTCTAACTCAGTGTTTTTCAACCTTCTTGAATATGCAACCCCTTTACAAGTTAAAAAATTTTGCCGACCCCCATGGCCATATTAAAACTATGTCAGTGATTTTAAAAACTACGTATTTAATTTTCTTTCTGTTGAGATTTAAATATTGATAAAAAAAACTAATTGTACTGTAAAATAAACAGGCACAGCCTTCTCACTGAAATTGTAGTTTCTTTTATTGTAGTGTAGGACCTACAAACACTTGTCTTTTTCTTTTACTCACGACCCCCCGTGTATGGCTTTGCGACAGGCTGTATTACTACTACTATTATTAATTAAATACTAAGTAATTTGGCACTAGAGGAAAGCTTACATCCTCATTTCCAGAACATATTAATTTGGATATAACCGTACTCAGTTACCTATGGTACTAGCCCTGATTATTTTCTTCCAGAGCCTTCTAAATTAATTACTAAAATATTAATTTAATTATAATTATTAAATTTAGCAAGCGATAGCTGCTAATGTTTGCCTCTAGTGCCAAATTACTTATTATTTAATTAATAATAGTAGTAGTAATATAGCCCAATATAATCCAGCAATCATTTGGTTTTAATATACAGCAGGTGTGGCCAAACTTTTATCCCTTAGGGGCTACTTTTTTGGTAAAATATAGTCTGTGGGTGACTATGAATTTGGGCAAACAAATTTAGGATTTTTATATGCGCATGCGTTAACATTCATTTGCATTGTTCATTGGGATAAATATAAACAGTATGGGTACGTTGCACAGACAGTCTATTATTGTAAGAATAAATTATCGAATTAAGATTTTTAAACATTAAGTGAAAGCAAATTGTTCAACTTTAGCTTTGCAGGCTACTTTCAAAACCTTTGCAGTTGACCACGGTCTATGTATTGGCCATCCTTGATATACAGTATAACCTCTGGATAGCGGACACTGTCAAGACGAAGTTTCTTCGCTGTTTAGAGGTATTTGCCAACAGCTATTGTATGTTAATGTGGTCTTTATAAAGTGAAGAATACAATGGATTATGAAAACATCAAATTTACATTAGGAATGTGAAAATACCAAAAAGTATACATAGCACATATAATTAAAATATATATACATTATATTATATAATTTTCAGCTGTAAAATCATATTTTAATTGAATTCTAAATATCAAACAGATTGTATAGGATACTTTAATTAAATGGAACAAAAATAATGACAAAGTGTAAACATTGATTAATTATTAATTCAAAATGACCTGAGTGGAAGTAACAGAAAAGCTTGTCAATAAAACCATATTTTGGCAGATTATCTCCTTACAATAGCATGGCAAATGGCAAATTCGGGGAGAAATACATTCATTAGATTCAAACTGTTCTGTTTTTGTGGCAAATTGTGGTGGATTACAGAGGGTTGACTGTATGTATATATATAACATACAATAATAAAAAAATATATTTAACAGTGATATTACACTTATTTTCCTCTTTGATTGATCACTTTTATATTCTTATCTGTTATATATATGTGTAACTTATTTGGTTTTGGGAAACATCATGATGGCAGATGAATAAATCTGCAGCATGTAAAGAATTTTTTATGTTTTTAAGGCATTATTGGTGAATTGACAAAGGAAAAGTTATTTAATTTCATAATTGCAAGTTAAAATGATCAGGGTACTGGTATCATTTCTCAATCCACACTCACTTTGAAATTGATTTTTAAACATAGATAATCCACAGATTATATGCTTGAAATTACAATAAATAATATTTTTTTACTTATTAAAAGTAAGAAAATTATTAAGCATTAACATATATTTAAAAATGTTTTGCATGAATAAATGAAAATAATCATATACAGTAAGTATTGATTTTTAAAGTTTAGTTTTATTTTGATATATTTGATGATTAAAGTAGTTACTTATCAAATAATTTTATAGGTATGAATAAAGAAGAAATGGAAATTTTAGGGAAAGAAAATCAAAATTTGATGAAACTTTCAAGAAGAGATTTACCATATGCTGTTAGTCAGGTATATGATTAAATATTTATAAAGCATTTATTATAACTTAAAGCAAATTTGATAATATAATTATTATTATATTCAGAAATTAACTGGTGGAACAACTGTTTCAAGTACAAGTATGATTGCAGAAAAAATGGGAATAAAAATATTTGTCACTGGTGGTATTGGTGGTGTACATCAAGACGTTGTTAATAGTAAATGATTTTTAATATTTTTGTATTATCTTCAAATTGATAGATAGTTATTTATATTATAACATTATATTAATATAGAACAAATATATAGAGGAATGTTAAAATATAAATACAACTTAACAACTTGGAATTAATTAATTATCAAAATTGCCAAAAATACTCTTATGGTTGGACTGATTAATGTTTCTACATTGATTTTTGACTTGAAATCCAGACAATGAAATTTGGCATACACTTATGTTTTAAGTGATAAATGAACCCATAAATTTCAGTTTGGGCAGATGTTTTTGAGACGTTAAATTTAATAATTAGTAAATTTGAATTAAAGTTTCCAATGATAATGACATATTTTTAATTAAGTTTTCTAATCACTAAATTATTTAATCAGACAAATCATAACCCAGTAAATTTGCAAGACAGATCTAAGACCATTGCGGCAAGGCTACTTTGTTAGGGGTGTGTTTAGAAATTATTTAATAGAATTTATATATTATTCTGTTAGGTTATAAGTTATTCTGACTAGAATTTTGATACCTTTGTTTGGTAAGATTTGCTATAATAATATAAAAGATACTTTTTCTTAGCTAATAAAATAAATTTAAATATTTTAAATAATTACTTTTCAATTCTTTTGTCATCTCTTTGGGAATATTTCAATCAATCAAATATTTTTTTTTATTTGCATTAAGGCTAAGCCTTGTTATAGGAGGTATTTTTCCAATGATATATTAATATACATTTGTTATCTATCAATCGTTTAATATACATCATCTTCAAAATCATCAATAATATTACAATAACCATTTAATAGTAAATTTTGTCGTTATTTATCTTTTAAATATTTTACTTTAAGTAACATAATTAGTAAAAAACAATTTTTTTAATTTTATTAATTTATTACATATTTTTTAGTTCTTTGGCAATTTGATTAAAAAAACCATTAATTTTATACATTTGATTTAATATAAGGTTGTTTAATTTAGTTCTAAAGTCTTGATTTTGCTTCGTACATATTAGTTCTTTAATTTCATATTTTTGATGATATTTCTTTAGTCCTTCACAGTCTCTTAGTAAATGGTTCAAAGAATAGTCACTTGAGTTACAGCAATAACATCTGTCTTTAGTAAAATCAAAATAAGTATTATTGATAAACAATGAATATTTATTAAGTCTTAATTGAATTAATAATCTTTTTATATTCATACTGATATTAGCAGTTATGATATTCAAAGTAGACGGGATGTTTAAAATATTGATATACCATGGATGGTATACAGACTGATATAATAAATTTTGATCCATTACTATTGATTTAGAAAATGCTGATTCGATCATTAGAGAGTATCCATATTGCCAATTCGTTTCTGAACTATCAAATAATCTATTTGATACACCAAAAGATTGTAATAATTTATTGAATTTATATTGCCATAGATTTTTATTGTTATCTAAGTTAAAATTTTGATTTAGCATTATTTGATGTAAGAATCTTATGTTATCTTCATTAGACTGTTTTAATCTATAATAGAACTTAATTAGTCTCTTTAAATAAAACGGAAATAATTGGAATCTGTTAGTTTCGGCATGGATTGCATAACTAGGAACTGTTCTTTCTATTTTATATAATTTTCGTAAATAAATAACATGAAATTTTTCTAAATCATATAGTATGTCTATTGCCCAAATAGGGCTTGCATAGTATATTGAAGGGATAATCAGAGGGTTAAATAGTTTCATTTGTAGTTTTATATTCGTCATTTTTAAAATTGCGCATAAATAAATAACATTATTTATTAAAGTATTTATTTTTGATGTTAGATTTTTCAAGTGCAGTTGAAAATTACAATTCCAATTGAATGATATTCCTAAACATTTTATTTCATTTACTAAGGTGAGATTTATTATTTAAATAGAACGATTTTTCTTGTTTTGGAAGTTTAACATTATTTCTAAATATAATTATTTTGGTTTTGAGATATTGATCATTAAAAACAGGGAATTCAGATAGTTGTTTATTATATTTAGTTTGTGCTGCAAAGTGATTTTTATTGGTGCAAGTAATACAAGATCATCTGCATGTAATATATAGTGGTAAGTTCTTCCAGAAATTTGAACACCTTCAGTGTCGAGTAGAAATAATTTATCGATATCATTTAAATAAAAATTAAACAAATATGGCGATAGCGGTTCTCCTTGTAGTAATCCTCGGTTGATATTTAATTCTGGGAATATCTGGTTATCGTGACTAATGTTGATTCTTTGAAGATTGAAAATAATTTTGCAATTGAATCTGAGAATTTTTTCCTGAGCCACATATTTTCAATTTATTTATCAAAGTTGGGACATGAACTGAATCAAAGGCTTTTGATATATCGATGAAAGCTGAATATATTTTCCTGTGTTTTTTAGTAAGTAAATTTGTATTATTGATAATAAGAAGAATAATGCCATTTCTGTTCCTTTTGATTTTATAAATGCGAATTGAAATTTTGAGTTTAAGTTTAGTTCAGTCCATTGTTGGAATCGTAGTGCCAGTATAGAAGTAAAGTATTTTTGTAATGTTGATAGCAATGCAACTGGTCTGTAATTTCCTGGACCTTTTCTGTTTTTTTTTTTTTTATATATCATTATCAGTTTTACTGTATTCCAATTTTCCGGAAAGTTTGCTGAATTGTAGAATGAATTGAATAATTCAAGCAATGCTCGTTTTCCCAATGGTGGTAATAATTTTAAGAATTTAACTGTAATTAGATCCATACCTGGTGCAGATTTTGTTTTCGTTTAATTGATTGATACTTCTAATTCGTCATAGGTAATTATTGGATCTAAAATTTCATTTCCTAGATTCAGCGTCTCTATAATGGTTATGTTAGTTATAGCAGTTATTCTTTTATAATAAAGTGACCAGGTTAAAAAGTCAATTTGGGAATGATTTTCAGTATCCTGTCTATGCAATTTACGTACCATTGACCAAAACAGAGTATTATCTTTTTTTAATATTAGTTGATGTTCAAGATTTTTAAAATATTTTCTTTTCTTAGATTTTAACAAATTATGATATATTGTCTTAAGTTTCTTATAGTTTATAAAGTTTGTTTCGTTTGACATATTCCTAAACTGCTTTAAGGCTTTATTTTTCTTTATTTTAGAGATATAACAGGTAAGGTCATACCAAGGCTTCTTAAACTTATTGGTTTTTATATTATTAATCTTTTTTATATTAATGAATTTTCTTATTAGATTTTCCAATTGATGATATATTTCTATTCCATTTCTCGGTATAAATTTAGGTAAATTTTTGATTTTTTCACTAATTTGCAATTAAAAATTCAGACAATCATATTTTATTATTTGATACAGTTGAAATTTTCTATTATTTAGTTGGATATTTGCCATTTCAAAGACAGTCATGATTGGAAAATGATCAGATAAGTCATAATTTAAAACTTGAATTTCTACACAAAAGTCAGACAGCAATTCAGAACATATCATAAGGTCTATTACTGAACTTTCCAATATTTGCAACACAAGTAAATTCAGATGGATAGTCATTTTTTATTCTTCCATTTAAAATTATTAATTGCAGTTGTTGAGTATTTTTTATTAATTGAAGACCCAATCTGTTATGATTATTATCTTTTGATTTTCGGTTAAAGTAGATTAGATTATTTGGTCCTTTATATTCTGAATCTATTATCTGTGCAATTCTGGAGTTAAAATCACCAAATAATAATACATGTGGAGAGATATTTTTCCATTTTTTGAGATTTTTGAATATTTCATTTAGTAAGTCTATCTGGTCAGACTGAACGTAAACTAACATTATAATAATTAACTTTTTGTATAAATGTTTCATTTCAGTATTATCAATTTGTAATAAGATTAGAATATAATTAGTTGCTTTTTGTATAAATTTTATGGAACCAATGTTTTTTCTTACTATTAGACAAAGTCCTCCATACAGTCTCCCAGGTCCTATTGGTTTCTTTGCGTCAGAAGATATAATTGTATATTCCATTCTATTTTTTATAATTTCATTAACTGGTGTGACAAGCCAGGTTTCAGTTATACCCAAGATATCAGTTTTATATAGTAATTGAGAAAAATCTTGAGTTTTTATTTTGTGGATAAAGCCTTGGCAGTTTCAGTTTGTGATATATAAATTAAGATTATTTGAAATTTTAATATATTGATCCTTTTCACATTCTACCTTTGAATTAATTATGTTATTGGGTTTTTCTGTAGAGAATACTTCAAAAAATCATCAGCGTATACTAACTGATCTTGAATATAACTATATGTAATTTTTTGACGATTAATTATCAGATAGTCATCATGCAGTTTTAGTTGTAATTCTTGTTTCTTAAAATCTATATAATATTGTAAAAGTCTTTTCTTCTTTTGCGAGAATCTTTATTTAAATCAGTTGACATATTAATTTCTTGCCAATTTCCCAGTGTCTTATTATACAGTAGAACCTCGATTATCCGGACTAATTGGGGATGAAGGTAGTCCGGATAACGAAAAATCCGGATAATCGAAACAAATACTTTACTTTGTCTTTTAATGATAATACAACACGTTTTCTTTTCGATGACATATCGGTAATATTAAAAATAAATACTGTATTTAAATCGTGATCAAATTTTCCAGAAACAAACGTTCGTATTGAATTTGGACTACTACTGACCAGCACTAACAGACTACAGTACTTATTGTTTAAAAGGCCCTCTGGTGGCGAAAGTAAGCCGGATTTTATAAAATAAAAAGCAGTTGAAACTGCATTTTTGTGAATAAAAATTTGACAAACTATTTATTGTTTTATGACGAGTAAAATTTTTTCGTCGCGTTCGCGGCTTTTAAGTAATGCATAAACCTTCGAGGTGCGAGGCCCTTCGTACCGCGAGGCATAGGCGGTGGCCCACATTGCCCATACGCCGCCCTTGGTCATAGAAATGATGTAATTTGGATATAAATTATTTATAAATACATATGTCAAA